CTGTCTTTGCAATCATCACATCAGCATCATATTTTGCATGATGGATACAACACCCTACTTGTCTAAAATATTTTCTAAGCATTAATATGATTCTTTGATTATCTAGTTTGTTGGAAAGAAATTCTTCCTTTTTTTTTCAATTTTAGAGCCATGTTGCCATCAAAATTTTCATCCTGTTCTCCATATCGAGACCTACAGAGACGTGTAGCACCTACCCATTGTTGAGCCATCAAGATAGCTATGAAGACTAGTGTGCATTTTCCATATTTAGCTAGCACATAGTTCATATATTACTGGCAGATCGTATAATAAGTCATTCAAGAAATTCTATGAGTTAATGCACTCTATCAAGTACATGTAGTAAGCACTTCATCTGACAGTTCACTCGGTTCATCTTTCAAATGAGACCAGAATACATTCACAAGGAAACTCTTCATTTTTTCAACTGTGTTTTATTTTTCATCATTTTTCTTCTACATATTTCATAACTTTTATAAAAGCATCTATCTTCTCCCCTCCCCCCCTGCAGCTAAGAACTGCAGTGATATGTCTTTACCAGTTCTAATGTTGATGCCACATTGATGATGATACATAACATTTGCAGCCTGTTAATCTTGAGCGAATTGAAGTCTACTGGTAACCATTGCACTCCATTTACCATTTTTATTTTTACAAGTGTCTTGTTTCCACGAATATAACTGTTCTGATAGAATAAATTCCAATATCTTTTCTGTCCGATCTTTTCTCTCTCTCTCTTTTTTTTGCAGCACTTTTGTTTCTACATGTAACGTCATTGCTGTTTTTCTGCAAAATATACAGCGCTGACGAAAGTCCAAGTTTGATTTTCCATACCTTATAGTTGTCGGCATGTTTCACTTGCTACATTTTTGTTTTCTTATTTTCAAGTTGAATATATTTTTTGTTGATCCAGTTACGTAGACATAAGTGTGCGCTCTCTGTCCTTCACTTGGCTGAACATTGTTCTTCCTCCTTATTCTGGCATTATATATTCCAACTCTACCCTTCTTGCCTAAAGGCACTATATATTCATTTTTAAGCATTGTTTTTTCGTTTGCACAGCACATGTATATCCTTGGTATCTGAATGTACAGTGTTTGAAGACATTTCATATTAAGATTAGGTTCCTCGGTATCTTAAAAGCTTAGGCACAGTACTGGGGCCAGGATCAACATCCGTATCTGAAAAAGTATTAATAGAAATGTAATTCGGATTTTAGAATGTTTGTTTGTTTGTTTGAAGTTAAGCATAAAGCTACACAATGGGCTATCTGTGCTCTGCCCACCACGGGTATCGAAACCTGGTTTCTAGCGTTGTAAGTCCGCAGACATACCGCTATGGCACTGGGGGGGGGGAGAAAGACTTTGTAAGTAAATGTCTCAAGGAACATTAACATGATTGTGTTATAATTACATCAGAAAAATGTCTAATCATATCAACAACTAGGTTAGGTTAGCATATGCAATGGGCTATAAATATAACTATGTAAATTTCTTCTAGCTTTCCAGGTTTATTTTAGCAAGCTGTTGATATATGAACGTTACTAAAATGCATTGTGAAAAAAAACAAACTTTTGATGTTTTAACCTTTGACCTGTATTTGACCGTAATTCTCTTCTACTAGATTACTATATATTATATTTAACTTGTATGGTTATCATGCTACTAAACGCAGACATGCGTATACGGCTTTGCGAATTTGGATTCAAGGTCAATCTGAAGTTTTAGAGGAGGTAGGAGCCGGCATCAATACGAAAAATGACTTCCTTGGCAAAATTAAGCATAACGTTTTGTCGAAATGTAGCTTTTGGTACAATTTCAAGAAGGAGTGGAACATTACTGAATAACATTCGTCTATCATCAGCTGGTAAGAATACCTAAACGGTAACCATACAAGTAGTTGTAACATTAACAGTAACGTCGTAACATAATAGTAATATAAAGTTCAGTCTGTTGAACGAAGTCCAATACACTAGTATATTAATATGGGAAGTAAAATGTCAATTTCTTTAATTTCTTTTTGAAATAAGTGCTGAAATCAGAATTAAGAGAATATTTTCCAACATTTGGGATGTTGACATTTAAATAATGATTGTAAGCATGGTTCCAGAAAATGTTTTCTTGTTTTACTAGCATATAGATTTTTGACAAAATAAAGATTTGTAAGTTTAATGTTAGAGCACCATGGTAGATACTCAATATGGTTTTCAAAGCGACACTCAGCAACAGATTAATTAATTAATGAGTTGGAATCTCGGGAAATTGGTGGTAAGGTTAAGAAATGGATGAAAAAAATTATTTCATGGTAGGAATCAAATAGTATGTTAATGAATGATAATTTCTTTTCAATTTATCAAAGAAGATGAGTGATATTTGTTGAGGTCAGCATTACAATATTTGTTATTTATTCTTAACAATTTGGATAACATCTTCCAGATTTGCTGATGATACCAAGATTCCAGGAAGAGATTTTTCTATTACAAATACTTCTCTTATTCAACAGAATCAACCTTAATAATATTATGACTGAGCCAGAACATGTTGAATGAGCATACTGAAGAGTATTAAGTTTTTGAAGTATGGTAATCTGAAAAAGACTTGTTTAAAGCTTAAGATGTTTTGGTATTGTGAAAGAAAGGTTTACTTATTTTATTGATTATTAAAATTCTTAAGCCTTCAGTGTTTAGCTATGAGAAAACAAGCATACAAGACTTCTGGATTCTGTTTATAACAATTTTGAATGTAAGAATAAGAAGGTTACTGTGATCCTGTATAGAACTGAGTTGGGATTTCATTTAAGTTCCATGTGCAAATTTAGTGAATGGGATAGTATGCTATAGTTGTACCAACATGATCCTTATTGTCCTTAAATTTTATATGATGTTTATTTTGGGGGGAAATCCTCAGTTCCCTTCTTAAACTTGTTAAATGCTGGACTCTACTACTGCCAATGGCAACTCATTCTATAAACAAATTACTCTGTCAGACAGACAATGCTGTCTTAACTGGAGTCTAGCCTATCTTTTTCCAAGTTTTAAACTTGTGTCCTTTCAATCAATTATCCTCAGTATACAACACAAAGAAATTAAAAGCCTTTATCCTATCAACCTCCTGGATGATTTTATAAACTCAATAAGATTACCTCTTACCCTTTTTTTGAGAAAAATTAAGTTAATATATCTAAATTTATCCTTTTATAATAACCCTTCAATCCTTGGACTCATCCTAGTACTTCTTCACTGAATTATTTCTGATAACTCAATATTCTGTCTTAGATAAGGAGACTGAAACTGTAAAAAATATTCCTAGTAAAGCCTAACTAATGATAATTACATCTTTTGACCTGTAATCAACAAGTCTGTAAATACAGCCTAAATTCCAGTTAGCTTTACTACTATCAACAGAATGCTGCTTCCATGGCTTGAGTGACGTATCCACCACAATGCCAAGACCATTTTCTTCGGGCATTCTATTTTGTAGGTTCTCACCAATGTAAAATATGATTCACATGTTGATAAGCCAAACACATTACCATGCACTTATTATAGCTAGATGCTATTTATTAGGTGTGTGTCCAGTTGATCCAAGTTATTCCGTAGTACTTCCTCATCCTCAGTACATCTAGAAATACCCAAGAGTTTAAAATCATTAATTAACATTACTAATTATGACATTAACTATATCATTAATATTTTTAATTTTGTCATTATCAGAGTATGTGTAATTGGCATACCGTCTGACAATTTATGTTTAGAAGCTTAATTTCTATGCAGCCAGAGTAGGTACAAGCTATGAGGAGAGACTTGAGAGTTTTGGACGTATTTTCTTTGCAGAAAAATCCCTGCTGGGGTACCTTATTTAAGAGTTCTTAGTTATTGGGGAGTGGTGGATAGGTGTAGTTTTTCTTTCACTTGTTTATTGTGTCTTGGAATGAAAATATTAGAAATACATTTCAGAAAGGTAAAGTAATACACTTGAGCATGTTGAGTTATGGTAACTTGGAAGTCCAGTTACTATTTTTATGGATCATACTGTATCATTAGTTTATGAAATTATTTTCATGAGTCATGACATTAATTGATTAAACCAAACAACTTTGAATTAATTGAAAATAATAATAAGAAATAATATTGGTGGTATTTAAATTACTTAGAATAATCATTAACACTAATTTTGATTCGTTATTTTTGTGACATCTTAATGTTCATAGGTAATTGAGTTAATCACCCAACTCTAGCTGCAAGTAACCTTAATGTTTCTGTGATTCAAAAGTACTTTTCCTGAACAGTTGTAAGATATAAAACAACCACATTATTCCTGCACTAAGATACAGGAAATATAAGTTTATTATTCACAACATAGGTCATACAAATTTCAGAAATTAATAAACTAATGCCTGCTCTTTACTTCTTCTAACTAGGTATCTCAAACATAGAAATATTCAAAGAAAAAAAAAACAGCATCATTGTCAAATCACACAGTATAATAATGAATTAGACAGAAAAAATGAACCAGAAGAAGAAGAAAAAACATAATTTGTAATATTACATAAAATAATAATTAGCAATATGAAACAGTTCTCAAAAGTAATGTCAAATCTCAAATAATAATCTAGTGAGTATAAGCATTAATTTTGTTGCTTTAAATAAGCAAGAAATAATTTGTACATATCACTCAGTCTAACTGCTCTTACCAGTATCACTAACTTTTAGTGTAGTTATCACTTATTTCTTTGCCAGACCATGTGACTAACGATTTGACATTTGTGTTACATAATCAAACATGAACTTAGTATCCATTTGTCAATGCTAGAGGAACCTTGTTTCAGTTTGTTAATATAGAAATGAATCACTTAATTTTTAATATTATACACTAGGAGGCAGATGAACTAGTATTTATAAGGCACTTAAAAATATAGCTAAACTAAAGTATATAAGGAAAAAATTACATAAATAATAAGCAAAACCATAATTAAAAATAATATGGAAATTGCTACCTCGCATGTGTCATAGCTTCTGTCATTTTCTTCATATGAAAATGAGTCACCAAGCTGATACTAGCAACTGAAGTACACTGTAGAGTAATTACCATATAGTCACATACATACCCCCCACCCCTAGTATACACTGCACCTGAGGAAAAAAGTGCTCTAAGAAACTTTTAAGCATGTATTACCTGCACTTGTGTATACCCCACATGTCAGCAACACAGACAAGTTTTGGAAGACAAGAAAAATTAAAGAATCCTTTTACATTACGGTAACACAATAAAACCTTCACTAAACATAGATTCTGGATTAGAGGTGAGTAACCTGTGGCTACCATTGGTTGAATCTACAGGAAGTCTTTCCACCAATCAGAAATGGGGATAAACCATCCAGTCAGAACAAGCCCTTCACAATCCACCAGAATACTATAAAGACTAACAACACCATACACACACTGATCTGAAGATGAAAGGCAAGAGACTTTCAAAACGTCGTCCTCTATACTTGTGATTGCTAAAAGACTTGTTTACCGGCCAGTTGATGAATTATTCCACATGTTGAAGAAGGATAAGAACAATATAAATAAATATTTGGAATAGAAAATTGGTGATATCAATATTTGGAATAGAAAATTGGTGATATCAATATTAAAAACAGAAAAAATACTGTATTACCCACACATATAATACGGGGTAAATATACCCTGTATTTAGCATTTTTGCAAACTAATTTAACATGTACCCTGTGGGTTATTTGTGTGAAAATATGGTTCCGTATTTTTCGATGTACAAGACACACTTTTTTAACCCAAAATTTGATGTAAAAATCTGCTTGCGTCCTATACACTGAAGGTATGAATAATATATATATATATATGTATATATACGATATACACAAACCATGTGTAAATATATTTAAATAGGCATGCATAGTTTAATTCAATTGAATATGTTATTTATAACAATAATAGTTTTTTTTCTTTTAAAAACATAACTATTTATAATGCTCCCTAAATAATAAAAAATAAATTACAGTGAAAGCAATGAAGATTTTGAACCAAACTAAATAACAGTAAACCTTTTTTTGATTTATGACATTTTTTTATTTTGATGTTTTGAGCTCTTTTGTGTTTAGAACAATATATACTAATTTTTAAAGTATCAAATTGAATTTTTGTTCAATAAAAATCCTTCAAATGCAACTATAGTTTTTTTTCCTCCAAAACTTTGTTTTCAAAATAAGGGTGCGTCTTATATTCTGAAAAATATGGTAGTTACGTTTTTGCATTATTAGATAAGTTTAATGTACTAGGCTAGTTGCAATATTGGAAAAAAAGAACTCTAGTTAGTGGTATTTTGCTGTTATGAAACAAACAATGCATTGTTATCACCAAATAAAGGCATTTCTGAAGACAATTGTTAATAAATGTGATAATCTTTCCACTAAAGTTTCAGTACACTAGACAGTCTATGATAAATGTACGAGATGTATATTTAAATGTACGAGATGTAACCATGAATTATCAATTTTATAGGTCCAAACCTTCAGTATATAACTGTGGAGAAGAAAGGTGAACAACAGAATATTGGACTGATTACGCTGAATAGACCTAAGGCTCTCAATGCTTTGTGTAATGCTCTCATGAAAGAGGTTTCCGAAACCATGGATGATTTGGAAGCTGATGATAGCATTGGAGCCATCATTCTCACCGGCAGTGGGAAGGCATTTGCTGGTAAGTGCTTTGAAGTTGAGAAAATCACTAATACATTCCCTTCTAATTTCAAGTTGTTGTTATCATTTACATTGGAAGTATTTTTAACTAGTTACTTGCAATAAATTAGGCAAATTTCTCATTTACATGTATCTTAACTTGAAGCATGGTCAGTTCAGTAGAAATATTTTTTTAAGCATTCTGAAATAAACATTGGAGTGTTTAATGAGGAAATTCTGACACTAATACAATTTAGAATAAATATTCTTGCTTATGTATATGAAAAGAAGACTAAAGCAGAACTTGGTTTAATCTTGTATTTAAAACTCATATTTTTTTTTGTTGTAACAGCAATTAACATACCTTCTATAAATTTACATTTTAAAGTACAAATTTGACTTCTGTGCAGCCGAAGTAGAATCAAGTGGATCAGTGATGTAAAATATTATATACATCAGTATCTTGAAATGACTCTTCTTATCGTTGGTGAGGCTTAGAAATTCATTATACTGTTATGATTGCTGTTGAATACCTAATTCAACTTATTCCATATATCCAGCTGGTGCTGATATCAAGGAGATGAAAGACCAGAATTTTGCACATGTCTTTCGATCAAATTTCCTTGCCCACTGGGACAGAATTGCCTATGCTTGCAAACCAGTTATTGCTGCTGTCAATGGTTATGCTGTAAGTGGCTTCTTTACTACAAAGTTTACATGTCAGTTTATTGTATGAAATTTAGATGTCTGTACTATATCTCTTAAAGACAAATTTTTTTTTTTTATTTATATAGTTAACCATACAAAACCAAGAACATGGCAGGGTAAAATACGAAAAGTTACTTTGCAGAGATACGTGAACCAACTACTAGTTTCATTCAAACATAATTTTTTTTAAGTTTTAATCTCCTATAACTATTTTGATGTCAAGTTGGAAGAAACTACTGCACTTGGTATAAAGTGATCTAAATTTTATTTGAAAAATTGCTTAATACACCATAAAAAGTTGTTTGTTTAAGTATAAAAATATAATTTGAAACAGAGTATTTTGAGAAGCATATATTCAAGGAAGTATATCTGACACTAAAAACCTTGAGACATGATAAATATATTAACTCTGAGACATGTTATATGTAAACCATTTATTGTTGAGGCATACTGGTTAAATTGAACTACAGTAGCAGGAACAATATCTAAAGTTCAGGAAACCCTGATCAAGTCATAAAGAAATTCTTATAAGGTGATCCCATGTTCTTAATATTAGGTTTAATAGAACTCGCTTAAAGAAACTAGAATGTAAGTGATAAAACATAAAAAAACTGAAACTTATTCATTTACTTGTATGTATGTGTGATAAGTTAAAATTCACTTTCCAAGATGATAAATAGTGCTTAGTTTTTGCCTGAAATAAATATATTATTCACAGTTCAGAAGTTAACAGAAAGATCCTGAATTATCTAGACCTATTAACAAGATGGACTTTAGAATTTCATGGTGATCTTTGGAACAGATAAAATTTGAGGACTTGAGCTAAAGTTCAGATTGTGTGTTTCTTTTTTCTTATTTTGGAGTTCATGAACCACATGTAGTTATTTATTATTAAAAATCTCTCATAATGCTCTATTTAGTGCAATATTTCTCAACCTTTTTGATACCAGGGACTGGCTTGCTGCCTCCTTTAACTGTCTGGATCACTAAAATGCAAATACATTTAAAAGCCATTACAATTTTCATATGAATATTCTGGCACAGACTGGCAATGTGGTTGTGACGGACCAGCACTGGTCCGTAGACTAGTGGTTGAGAAACACTGGTTTAATAGTTTTGTTCAGGTATCATTAATTTTTAGAAATATTATTTTGTCTTACCATACACAAAAATGTTGCATTTACTTGGCCAGCATATGAATGATTAATATGTAATTAAGTAACATGACTTGGAGACAGCACAGCCACTCTTGAGAAAGGTAAAGATTTAAACACACCTTTTATTCTTCAAAAAGTCCCTGATTATTGTCTTAAACACTTTGTAAGATGCCAGCCTCCACTTATTACATAAGTCAATCACACTGTTAGAAAAATAAAACTGGCTTAAGTGGAGCTTAGCCTGTTCCTTTTCCAGACTTTAATACTTGTGTCCTGGCTCCTATTGTCTTCAGAATGTAGCACAAAGAAATTGGAGGTTGTTATTCTATCAGACCCCAACATAATCTTGCAGATTTCAACAAGTTCACCCCTTACCCTTTTCTCGATAGAAAATAAGGTACAAGATCTTAACCTAACCCTTTAAGGTAACCCTTCCAATCTTGAAATCATTCCCATGAATCCTTTCCAGTAAGTCAGTATTCTTTCTTAGATAAGGAGACCAAGTCCATATGCAGTATTCCAAGTATGGCCTAAATAGTAATTTATATAGATAGATAATTACCTCGTTTGACTTTTATTCTTTGTGTTTAAAAATACACCCTAAAACTTTATTTGCTTTACTTCAGACAATCACACAAACACGCATGTATTTATTGAAGTACATTTACATATAATATTTTGTTTTTTCTTATTCAGCTTGGAGGAGGATGTGAATTGGCTATGATGTGCGATATCATTTATGCCAGCGAAACAGCCAAGTTTGGCCAACCTGAGATAATCCTTGGAACAATTCCAGGTATTTTATTTTCTGTTTTTCTTTTTTTAATTTCTTTATGAAGTAATGAAACGTTTTAGTTTTCTTCATCACAGTTTAATCATTGGCCATGCATGGAATATTTCAGTCTGGACACCTGAGATTTGTAATAAAAATAAATTCAAGATATATATCTAATCATGAAAAATTGTTTATAATATGATCATGGGACTAAACTAAATTGTTCATTAATATGGAAATGAGAAACCACCTTTGTCATTGCTGGTTTTTGTCTTCAAAAAAAGTGACAAGTTGACAGTTCAGTAGTTGCTAGAAAATCTTTTGTTCATAACTAGCAATTTTAACTTGTTATTATTGTTGGTTTTAACATGTTTCAAGTATTGTTTAGTAATGACAAAAGAACAATTAATGGAAAAAGATATTGTGTAAACAGGTTCAGATTATCTTTTTAGCTTACAATAATATCTAGGTGTTAACTTTTTTTATATTCTTTTGGCTTTATTTTAGATATCATAAAGCAGGGAAATGTTTTATAAATAATATAAATTATATGGTTATTATATTTTAGCATTTTTAGAAATTATTCAAATAGAAATGTCAGATTAATTTCAATAAATTGCATTGTTAAATCACAAATAAGTTTTCAAACCATAAATAAGCATTTGTATTCAGAACTGTGCATTGACTGTAACCATACTGACAAATAACCTATGTTATTTACAAGCTAGATGGAAACCGACTTCATGCCTTGATCAGTGTATTTACTGTATATGTTTTAAATAGTTCTTTGGGGTGATTCTATAAAAAAAAAACTGTTTATACAATGGTAATCAGAAGTTTGTTAACTTGTTGTTTATACCAGGATGTTTGTACAATTTAAGTTAAAGGTTTGGTTGTAAGATTGTAATTCTTCTCTTAAATATTAATCAACTTCATCTATTTGAGAATGGTGTTTCAATACGCAAGTCTTTAGTGAGTCCTGTGCTAACAGATCAAAATATTGTTCTCAGATGAGCTCTAAACAGGAAACGAAACTCTTCAAAATCTATCAGCTTTATTTGTGTGTTTGACTACTGATATAGCAGTAAATGAATGAAGTAGAACTATGATAGGCTTCAGTTCTTAGACCAACCAATAGAATGATTGTGCTATCCAGACTTCTTTTTTTTTTTTGGTTCACAAAAAAAAGTTTTTTGTTTGTTTTTTTTACTACTGAACACCCATAAATTTACATGGGCTGACCTACCAACTGTTGTCCTCTGACCACTGCTTAGAATGACTTAACACATAAGTTTCTTATTTTTACCATTTAAACACAGAAGTTCAATAATAAATTACTGGAAAAAAAAGATATTTTGAAGTCCCCATAACTTTAAAATCTGTTTTTATACATACAAGTTGTTATTTCTGAAGGACGAGGTTTAAAACTCCTGGTTTGTTAATCACATTTGGCATCTTCCAGGGGCTGGTGGCACTCAGAGGCTCACACGGATTGTTGGAAAATCTAAAGCAATGGAGATGGTGCTGACAGGAATGCAGATTACTGCTGAGGAAGCAGAGAAATGGGGTGTGTAAATAAAAAAAAAAAATTTGTACTGAAATAGAATAAGCTATTTAAATATTCATTATTAAGTAAATAATATGATGTTATTTAATTTAATGCACATTAGCTTGAATACCTTCTGCAAATAAATGATTTAATTGTTATATATCTGTTTGTCCACTGCACTGTGATAAAGTGATATTTTCATATTGTATAGTATTAAAATCTTGACACACAAGAGTCCTGTGCTAACAGATCAAAATATTGTTCTCAGATGAGCTCTAAACAGGAAATGAAACTCTTCAAAATCTATCAGTGTGTATTTGACCACACCCAAGGTCTCATAGGTTAATTTACTCTAATCCTTTCTAAAATAATTTCAATTTGAGGCTAGGTTCATAGAGATTCATAGGTTCATGGAATGTATTAATATGATGACTTGCTTATTTATAAGAATACAAAATAATCTGGAAAATGATATTCTCCTGTATGTACTAGTAAGAAAAAAAAAAAAGTGACAAACTTGAAAAATATCATGTTTATTTTCAGTTCGTTGTTTATTAGTAGAGAATACTTGCTAACCAGTGGAACTGTAATATCTGACATTATGATAAACTGTTAATCAAAACGGTCAAATAATCTGGTGTGCTTTCAGAAGATGGGCCTTTATTTTTAGCCGCAGGTCATAAAATGACTCTGAGTTTCACGAGTACGAACTTTTAGTTCAAAGCTCTGTCATCTCCTGATCAATTTGAGATCTAATTACAGGTCTGGACTCAGGAGGTCAAACCCTTTTGATTGTTGTATTTGACCACACCCAAGGTCTCATAGGTTAATTTACTCTAATCCTGTCTAAAATAATTTCAATTTGAGGCTAGGTTCATAGAGATCCTGATGAGTAATAAACTTTAATTGGGTATATGCGTGTCACACACATGGTATTGCTGCTGCACAAAAATATAACTAGTAAAAAGGGAAGAAGAAAAAATTTCTTGTAAATTAATTTACTCCAATCTTGCATAAAAGAATCTCAAGTGCTGTGGTTATTGAAAATTTTCCCTCATTCAGGGATAGAGGGCTACTTTTTTGTTGTGTTACAGGTACTGACACACGTTTTTCAGTGAGTTGAATTGAATATTAACATCCGGGTTATTTGTATTATTTCCATCCTAATTGGGCTGTGCATTTACAGTATTTTTTTAACAGTTCTCTAAGGGTATTCTAAAAAAAGACGAAAAAGCTATTTATAGCATCTGAGAACAATATTTACTATATATATATAGCTTCATTAGGTTGAAAATGATGCAAATATATAAACAAAGACTAGACTTTGATTGGTTCTTTTTTTTTAATTTAACAATAATTAACAATCATGATCTCTATATATTAAAATGTCCAGTATGGACAGGTGGTTAGGGTACTTGACTTGCAACCTGAGGGTCACAGGTAAGAATTCCTGTCCCACCAGACATGCTCACCCTTTCAACCATAAGGGCATTATAATGTGACGATCAATCCCACTATTCGTTGGTAAAAGAGTAGCCCAAGAGTTGGTGGTGATGACTAGCTGCCTTCCCTCTAGTCTTACACTACTAAATTAGGGACAGCTAGCACAGATAGCTCTCGTGTAGCTTTATACAAAATTTAAAACTATATTAATTATGTAATCCCCTCTTGTTTCTGTTAGGAACTTGATGTCAAAGGAAATGATACAAAACAGTAATAATAGATAATTAAATAAGTTAAAAATAAATAGATAAATACGAATAACATGTATTAGTAAGATGTTGCTGATCAATTGCCTCCCTGTGGTCAGTGTTTTGAAATTATGGATGACACCACACTATCGACTGCTGCGACAAGAGTCCATAATTGTGTTGAGGGTGAAGAATCTGTGCTTTGACTGGTGCTAGAAACTTCTCTAGCACGTAACTATTAATATATATATATGCATTGTTTTTTCTTGTGTTTCAGGACTAGTTAGCAAAGTGATTCCTCCTGACCAACTTCTCCCAGAAGCTATTAAACTTGGAGAAAAAATAGCATCTTTATCCAAACTGAGCGTCGCTATGGCTAAAGAAGCTGTTGGTCATGGTATGTGAAGTCATATGTACTTTATTTTGAGAACTGTCTATGAATTTACCTTCTATTGAAACCTGATATTATGTGCATCTCTAAGTGTTTGCTTCTCCAGATAAAAGTATTGTATAAATTTCGCTTCTCTCACATAGGGGAAGGTAATGGGGGGGGGGCATTAGCTCCTACCCCTCCTCCTAAGGTCTATACTTAGTGGGACAGGTGAATTGAATATCAATACTTTTAAGGCTACCATAAGCTACATGTCAGCATTTTAATGATTGCTCCATTTGAAGTACTTAAACACCAATTTTTCTGGTGGTCAAACCTCCTGGTCTCTTATAGAATTATCATATTTGGGTAAACTCCCATATGGTAACTTTTGCTTCCTTCATCTCTGTTTTTAATTTTATCCTTTTATTTTGAATTAGTTTTCTATATCTGATCTATAGAGATGGGAATGCAAAGGCATGTTTATGATAGTATGTCATGTGTATGTTAAAAAAAAAAGAATTATAGCAAGAAAGAGAGAGAGAAAATCAATATGTAAGTTTAAGAATAATAATCATGTAATTAGTTGAAAGGAGAAAATTAAATCTTTTCATTAATAAACTCTGTAGAAGGGTTACAAAGTTTTATTTGGGGGGTATTGATTATATTATATCTTCTCTTGTTTATCAGTCCTTATAGTCTGAGAACAATATGAGTTACAAAGTTTTATTTGGGGGGTATTGATTATATTATATCTTCTCTTGTTTATCAGTCCTTATAGTCTGAGAATAATATGGGTAACAAAGTTTTATTTGGGGGTATTGATTATATTATATCTTCTTTTGTTGTTTTTCAATCCTTATAGTCTAAGAACAATATATTGTTTACCATTGAGTATAAGTAATGAGCATCACATTAGTTTGTTTTTCTTCTGTTTATGTAGTGCATTAATTTTATAAAATTATCTCTTCATCATTTAAAAATACTTCCCATATTTGGAAAAAATGTACAAACATCTATTTAAAATTGAAACCACCATTTTTATAAAACAAATGTGAGTTTTTTTAACACCCAGTCTGTGAGTTGATAAGACCAAATTCAGAGGATTGGGTGAGCTATAGAGGGGTGTCACTGTTTCTGGTATTCAACTTAAAACCAAAACAATGTACTCCAATAAATAGTGTTCTCTACTGCTTGGGGTTAAGTTATAATGTATTTCCTTCTACAGACTGGGTGTTAAGAAATGAACCTAGTTCCCAATTTAGTTGGTAAATATAACTACTTTTTATTGTAACGGAGATTTAAGGCTTGTTTAATTTGTTCTTATTGTTAACTTGTTACTTTCACAGCATATGAAACTACACTGCAAGAGGGTCTGAAGATCGAAAAAAGAATGTTTCATTCTACATTTGCTACGGTACTTGTATATTTTTCTGTCATCAAGAATTTTTAATAGATTTAATTAATCCCTCTTCAATACAAACACACACACACACACTATTCAGTAGAGAAGTTTCTTTTTATAGAATTACTTTGTGGATAATAAATGATCTGATATTATTGGCTTATCTGCATATGGCTTAATTATAATGTAAATACATTGTATATCTGTAGATAAGGCTTCAAAAACTCTGAATGTGTTAGAGTATTGTACTTGTCATAAATTTGAAGTGTCTCAGTGTTATCATGTTGAAGAAACTTGTAGCATTAAATATATGTCCATTTATGGGGCTAAGTTTGTGGAAATACTGTATAAATTTTTGTGGATTGGCTGATTTATTATTTAGCTTTCTTTTTATACTTGTTTAGACCAAACGTATTTTAATACACTTAAAGTTACCTAATGTCTTTAGGTTTCTATGGTATTTCGACTTTAGAGTGTGACCATAATGATTTTTTAATGCTAACGAAATAAGAAACTATTCTGATTACCTTTTTAAAGTATGTAGCGCGTGTTTAATTGATATGAAGGTGGTCGATATAAACTACGTTTATTGTGCTGTATTAAACAGAAAAGGTTTAAGATTAATTAGGTTACCAATTTTTTAGGGAAGATAATTATATCTGCCCATGTTTCAATGACTTTTATTAATTCAGCTTCCAGATCAAAGGTAAAGCTGATTAAGTATGTTCTCAGACTGTTTGTGGGTATAAGTTTGGGTGCATAATGTGTGTATTGTTAATTTATCTGATCTCATTGCAAGCATGAACTTTCTTGATCCATGAATCAAACTTATAAAGAATTATTAGATAATCTGAAAATACATCTCACCATTAGTAAAACATTAAAAGATTTTAAAAACTGTTTATTTCTTTACAATTTCAGATTGTATATAACTGCTAGCATGTCAAACGGTAGCATTCACTTTTGGCTAGAACATCTTGTTGCATCTGTCAGTAACTGATTTCAAACATATTGTTTTGAAGTTAATTAGCACATAGTTAGGCCAGTCATTTGGTTTTTGTTATCAGTTTTCTGTACTTCATAATTAATGGTATCATTGCACAATATGGGCTAGTATGTTTTTGTTATTTCAGTAGCACGATATTGTACAGAAGGTTGTTCGTGATCTATTGTAGCAACTTGTAAATCTAGTAACCTTTGCCCCTGGCCAATCACTCCCTTGGTAACTAAGTAGGTTAAAAGGTTTGACCCTCTTGTTACAATACAGTTGAAATGCATAATTTGCAAGTGTAGATGGCACCAGGCATCAAAAATTAACTTTTTGAAGGTTTATATTACAGGACTTTCTTATTCCAACTAAATCTCAAAAGCAGTTGTGTTACCTGAACAATCCAAAATTTTTTATGTTATTGACATTGTCTTACTATCATTTATACCTTATTCCATTGAATCTGACCACTATCCAGATTTTGTTTAAACCATGACAAAAGTTTCAAAATTTGTAATAATTAGTCTAATGTTAAATATTTGTTGTTATTTCTGTGTAGTAATCTACATAACTTTAATGATTTTGAAATTTAGTGCAGATTTTTTACATTTAATTTTTGTGTGTTTCAGTGTGTGGAAAGTTTGTAAAGAAATTGCAAACATAACTTATGTTTTATTTTGTTAAGGAAAATGGAATTCTTGTGCGATAACGAAAAGAAATGTTTTTTTTTACTGATTTCAGGATGACAGGAGGGAAGGTATGACAGCTTTTGTTGACAAGAGGGCACCAAAATTTACCGACAGTTAATGATGATGATTATCAAACACTGTTAAACAGTCAGCCTTATGAAAAGGACTTGTTGAATGACAGCCAAGTTATGCATTTTATGTTAAAGATGAATGTAAACTAATCTGTCTTAATTCGGTACAAATTATTAGTTAAAAAAGTAAAATAAAGTTTTTGGTAATATTTTTATAGCTATTTTGGTGACAAAGCTGCTAGAGACTCATTTTTTGTTTGTGTCCCACATGATGGGTAACAAAGATTAAAAACTGAAAGTAGTTTAAAAAAACATTACACATAAACTTTTTAAACATTTTAAATTGAATATTTTTTTTTACCCACCACTTTCAAGAAGAGGATTAACTTTACCTTAATTGCTGGATTCTCCTTTTTTTATAGAAAAACTGTTTATTTACTTCTTATGGGAAAAAAACTATACTGTATCACTTATTACCCCTGTATACATGCTGCACACACACACACACAGATGTTTATGTAATATGTCTAATCACGTTAGATGATTAAACATGTTATGAGGATCATATATAATAATCTAAAAACATTCGAACATCATCAATTTTGGTGAGAAAGTTTGCCAAGAAAAACAACTATATCTGCCTTACTTTACTATTTCTACCCCTGTTATTAAAAAATAAATAAATAGATGGACAGATAGTTGTAGTAATTCACAAGTGAAAATTAAATTAAATAGAATTGTAAAACGTTTGTTAAGGCCTAGTGTGAAAAATTATTGCTGTTGACTATATAAACAAGGTATAGAGGGTATACAAAGTTATCTTTCAATTGAAAATGTATCTTATATAAGAAGACTTATTCATAATCCTCTATTGCATGCATTATCGAAATACGATGGAAAAGAATGCTTTCTTTGAATTTCTTATTCAATAGTTTTATATTGCACAAAACATGTTTTTGTGAAATATATTTTGGTAAGTTATAAATTGGTACGTTACCTAGAATTAATATTGTTCAATTGAGGATCCAACAAAAAATAGTTCCATGGTTTATTTAGACTGTTACCTGGATGTAAGCATCAGTATGAAGCTTTTGTATGTGTATTAAGCAACAAAGATAGATTCGTTACCTGTACGTTACAACGTGCAATAGAGGGCTAAAGTAATGTTACGTCTCTGTTCGTTAGTTAATTTTCCGTAAATTCGTTCCGACGAAACTTTAGCGACATAAGTCCTTTCTTAAATAAAACTGGTTTATTCTTTCCGAATACACTTAATTTCAACAGTCGCTCTATACAAACGCTATAACTCACGTCTCACGAGCTCGACTTCAACAATACTCCG